AGAAGCTTCGGGAACAAGTTGAGGAGCGGCTGTCCTTCTATGAGACTGGAGAGATTCCACGAAAGAATCTGGATGTCATGAAGGAAGCAATGGTTCAGGTTGGTGTTGAGCATGCTCTCTGGGTAGGGGGAGAACCACAGCAGTTGGAGGTGATGAACTGCCTTAGCCTGACCTTAGTCGAGTGGAGGCAAAAAAAACTGATTTAATGAGCCTGATCCAATAAAGCCAAAAAGGAGGCCTTGGAGCACCAGAGGTTTTCAAGCCCTTTCAGCACTTTTCTTTGACCAGGCAGAGGAAGCGGCTGCTGAGATCACTAGGAAACTGGAGAAACAGGAGAAGAAACGCTTGAAGAAGGAAAAGAAACGACTGGCTGCACTTGCCTTGGCTTCTTCAGAAAACAGCAGTAGCACTCAGGAGGAGTGTGAGGTCAGTAGGCAGATAGCCCAGGTGAAGATCATGGGTTGCAGGATTTTCAACAGCAGAACAAAGGATGTGCTTCGCCAAGCCATGGTCTTGAGTCCAGGCTTTTGGACTGAAACAAGGACCTGAAACATCTCAAACTACCTCTTGATTCTATAGGAAGGAGATAGGTGCTGAGAGAACTTGCTCAAGAGCCCAGAGAGCTGGTTGTAGCACACACCCGTTCCCTGGGCAAGTGTGTTCTGTCCTCGGCTGCCTCCCAGGAGTCCTCAACCTGGGGTAGTGTAAATTCCTGCTCTGCTTATTCCCAGACGTGTGTCCGGAAGTGGTAGTGTTTCACAGTGGGGATGGGGGCAGGGAGGTCCCCAATGTGCTAGGCTAGAATCATTCTCCCTGGGATTTTCATTTAGTGCCCAGTTAATTTCAAGGTTCCCTTTGGAATTTGGCATGATGTTTCTATTGTGACCAGCATGGTGGGCTTTTCTGTAGGTTATTTAATGGGCTGAGGTAATTGTTCATTACGTGTTCGTGTTCTCCATAACTTCTAATTGGGAAATCTACCCCAGAGGCTACATTTCCAGAGTTACACCCACATGATTTTAAAACTGTCCCAGAAACACTGGGTAATTTTAACAGAATTTTACCAGTTTTTCCTGCCCCAGCTGTTGCTAAAAACAATGGGGATGTGTGTGTGTGTGTGTGGGTTTGTGATAGGTGACACCATTCTCAAACCTAATTCCCCCTTTTCCCTTTAGGATACAGTGGAAAAACCCAAAAAGAAGAAAAAGCAAAAGCCCCAGGAGGTTCCTCAGGAGAACGGAATGGAAGACCACCCATCTATCCCTGTATCTAAACCCAAGAAAAAGAAATCTTTTTCCAAGGAGGAGTTGGTTAGTAGTGATCTTGAAGAGGCCACTGGCATTGTAAATCCTCCCAAGAAGAAGAAAGCTTCACCCAAGGAGGAAACAGTAGTTAGTAATCCTGAAGAGGCAGGCAACAAGAGCGTGTCTAAGAAAAAGAGGAAATTCTCCTCTAAGGAGGAGGTGGTCAGCAGTGGGCCGGAAGAGGCTGTGGGCATCAAGAGCGGCTCCAAGAAGAAGAAAAAGTTCCACAAAGCTCCCCAGGAAGATTAGAATGGACATTCCCTGTGAGGGAGGGGTATCCCATACCCCACAGCGACATTTCCCATCCTGTGTCCCATACCTCAATAAAAACAAATTCACAAAGTTGTTGGTTCATGTTTTATTTAATATCTTACATGGGTGTGGGCAGGACCTATGGGTGGGGCAGGGCAGCAATGACAGCCTCAGTGAAGTCGTGGCAAGTGGCATAGCCACCCATGTCAGAGGTTCGAACCTGTGGGGGAGAATGGTCATCATCCCTGCAGCCTGGACCCCGCCCCTAACTCCCACCACCACCACCCACCAGATACTGTTCCCTAAGGAAGCCAGCCCTAGGACAACCTAGGCTCTGCTCAAAAAGGTGATTATGGTCCACTGTCTAGAGGTTCAGGGTTTCTTCCCTGGTCCACTGTACTGAAGGGATGTATATGTAGTATGGTCCTTGTGAGGTTGGGAGGAATAAAGGGCTCTAGCTCCCATGGGGGTGCAGGTGGCCGATGACAGACTTGATGAAGTCAGTTGTGGTGCTGTAGCCGCCCATGTCTCGCGTCCGCACCTACAGCCACCACCGGCAACAGCCGTGGGGAAGAAGAGAAGAGAGCCCATGAAGGCAGGGCAGTGTGATCAAGGAAATGGAATCCAAGAAGGGGTGACAGAAGGTAGCCAGAAGATGCAGCGCAGCAGGGATAGAAGGGGCCAGGTTTAGGAGTATATGGACCTGCCCACTTCTCCTCCGAGCCACCGTTGGCTAGCTGTGCAGCAGCCCATCAAGGCAGGAGGTTAAGCAGGAAGTGAGATGATGGGAAAACACAGATCAGGTAGCTGGCTACCTTGGAGGATATACAGAGACAGAACAGGTGGCAGGAAAGAGGACACCAGGAGGAAGATGAGGATGGGCTCCCAGGTATGGAGACGGTGAAGCTTTGTCTCATCCTGCCTAGCTCCCTCATTGCTCCATCCCTTCCTTACAGAGTGGCAAGTTCTGCATTCAGATGGCTGTGAAAGGGGCAGAGGATGGAGCAGGAAAGGAAATAGCAGATGGGAACTAAGAGGCAAAGGAGATCAAGAGATGAAACAGTCAAGAGACTGAGAGGCCAAGAACAGCCCTGACAGAACAGGAAGATCAAAAAGCAAAGATGTTCTGGAGACCTGGGGGGAGGAGGCCCCCCTTCTGGTCCCCCAGAGAGTAGTGCTGAGGCCCTGACACTAGCAGCCTTTCTCAACTCACCTTGCCGACTTTGATCACCTTCTTCACCGCATCTGCAATCATGCTGGAGTGATATTCAAGGCTGTCAATGTCGACAAGAAGAAATTGAGACCGCTCAGAACACTGTACCCTAATTTCCCCTTCTGGCTCCTTCCTAGAAACACCCAGTCCCCACCCCAAACCTCCCATGACCTACTTGAGATGCCGTAGCATGTTGGAAGCTGACAGCAGCATGGCCGTGGGATTGGCTATATTCCTGCCCACTGCCTGGGCAAACGGGTGGCGGGCACCCTGTGGAGAGGGGCAGGCCAGAGTGGCTGGGAGCAGGCAGGAGGTACACACACAAGCTGGGAAAGGATGCCATGGGACAGGGAGCAGGCCAGGGTGATTTAGGAAGAGGAGGTAATAGGATTGGGAGTGGGATGGATGGGAGACCTGAGGTCAGGGAATTGGCACAGGCAAGGAGAAAGGGCTGAGGGAAGAAGTGGCCTCACTCACCGTCTCAAATACTGCGTACTCTGCACTGTAGCTCTCACCAGGGACCACGCCAGCTCCCCCAACCAGGCCTGCAGCCAGATTGTCAATAATGTTCCCATAGAGATTGGGCATGACGAGCACGTCAAACTGGTAAGGATTCTGCACCAGCTAGGGGATGAGATACAGGCATGAAGTGAATCCCACTCCTCACCCTCCTCATACTGTAGACTGGAGAAATGGGGAGGGCCTCACCTGCATGCAGCAGTTGTCGATAATCATGGTCTCAAATTTGATTTTGGGGTACAGTTCTGCAACCTCCTCACAGCACTGCAGGAATAACCCATCCCCAAGTTTCCTGTTCAGCAGCCAAAAGGAACAGAATCAGCCAGGAGCGTACAGGGACCTACCTCCCCAGGAACCCAACCCACAGAAAGCCATGGCCCTCACATGATGTTGGCCTTGTGGACAGCAGTGACCTTGCCCCTCCCCTTCTTGGTGGCATAGTCAAAGGCAAACTTTGCAATCCGCTGAGACTTGGCTCGTGTGACAATTTTCAAGCACTCAATCACACCTCTTGCACTCTGGTAATAGAGAAGTAGAGGTGACCTTGGGAAAGAGCTTCACCTCTCTCTTACCTCCATCTCTGCCCTCCCCAGTTTCTCAGGCCTCACCTCATGTTCCAAAGAGCTGTACTCCCCTTCTGTCTGCTCTCGAATGATCACCAGGTCTAGATTGTTGTGCCGAGTCATATACCCAGGAAGTGACTTCACATGGACTACATTGGCAAATAAATCCAACTTACGCCTAAAAGTGGACAGAGCCATCAGCTCTCTGCCTGGTGCCCCAGTACCCCTCTGACCCACTCTCCAAACCTCCACCACCTACCTCAGCCGCATATCGTAGGAGGCTAGTTCCCCCTTATACTCCATTGGGGTATGGATCTTTCCTGTGTAAACAAAGTACGGGGAGGAGTGTCAGGCACAGGCCAGGCCTAAGGGAGCCAGATCAGTGTCCAATTCCCTCAGGGACATAATGCAACGCAGACTCCCACCTCTCCTCAATCAGTAACCTTTTTTTTTGAGACAGAATCTCACTATGTCACTCTGGGTAGAGTGCTGTGGTGTCACAGCTCACAGCAACCTCAAACTCTTAGGCTTAAGTGATTCTCTTGCCTCAACCTCCCAAGTAGCTGGGACTACAGGCTCCCGCCACAACATCCAGCTATTGTTTTGTTGCAGCTGTAGTTGTCTTTGTTGTTTAGCTGGCCCAGGCTGGGTTTGAACCCACCAGCCTAGGTGCATGTGGCTGGCACCATAACCACTGTGCTACAGGTGCTGAGCCCTCAATAAGTAACCTTTAATTGCCTCTGGGAAAAAGGTGCAAAGATAAATGCGCAAAGTCAGAAACATTTTGTCTATTGCTTTATTTTCAGTCATATTTATGTTAAACTTCAAAATGATCTAAAAGGACAGATTTTATTCATGGTTATCAAAGAGGCTGGGTTTTAGTATTCCATGGTATGTATACATGTATAAAAAAGAAAAAAAGGGCCTAAAGTTAGTAACAAGTTGAGAAACAATGCAAGCAGATCCCTGACCCGTTTTTATGTTTCTGCTTTTGACATGTTTTCAACCATCGCTTTTATTTTTTTCTTTTGAGACACAGTCTCCCTCTCTCACCCCAGGCTGGAGTGCCCTGACATCAGACTTGCTCACAGCAACTTCAATCCCCTGGGTTCAAGCAATTCTCCCACCTGTTTCCCAAGTAGCTGGGATTACAAGGATGTACCACCACATCTGGCTAATTTTTCTTTTTTTAGTAGAAACAGGGTCTCACTCTTGCTCAGGCTGGTCTTAAACTCCGGAGCTCAAATGATCCTCCCACTTTGGCCTCCCAGAGTGCTTGGATTACAGGCGTGAGCCACTGCACCCTGCCTCAGCCACCACTTATTAAATGTGTGTATCAACTATGTTAGGCAATGAAGATAACGGCCAAAAACTGTACCACTCCTGCCCTCAAGGAACAAAAAGTTCACTGGGAAAGATAGAACCTATGAAAGACGTGATAATGGAAAAGGTATTAACAATATGCATGAGAGCACAGAGAATGGCTGGGCATAGAGGCGCGCATCCCTAATCCTAGCATTTTGGGAGACTGAGAATTACTTGAGGCTAGGAGTTTGAGACTAGCCAGAGCAACACTGTAAGATTCCATTGCTACAAAACCATTTTGTTTTTTTTTGAAACAGTCTCACTTTGTTGCCCTCAGTAGAATGGTGCCATGGCATCATAGCAACCTCAAACTCTTGGGCTCAAGTGATTCTCTTGCCTCAGTCTCCCAAGTAACTGGGACTACAGGCATCTGCCACAATGCCAGCTATTTTTACAGATGGGAGTCTCGCTCATGCTCAGGCTGGTCTTGAACCGGTGAGCTCAAGCAATCCACCCACCTCAGCTTCCCAGAGTGCTAAGATTACAGGCATGGGCCACAGTCTCCAGCCTACAAAATAATTTTTAAAAATTAGCTGGATATGGTGGTGCAACCCTATAGTCCTAGCTACCGAGATAGAAGGACTGCTTCAGCCCAAGTCTGAGGCTGCAATGACCTAGGATTGTGCCACTGTACTCTGGCCTAGACAACAGAGCAAGACCCCTATGTCTACTAGCTATCACAGTAAACCTGGCATTTCAGTCAGACCTTAGGTTGAGTGTAGTGGGCTACACAGTGATCCCTAAATGATTGTTCATGCTCTAAGCCCCAAAACCTGTGACATTATTTGGGAAAAGGGGATTTGCAAGTGTAATTAAGCTAAGGATCTTGAGATGAAACCATCTTGGATTAGGGTAGACATTAAATCCAATGAAAAATCCTTAGAGAACAAAGAAGGGATATAGAGACACAGAGGGGAGAAAGTCACGGGCAGAGATTAGAGCGCTGTAACTGCAAATCAGGAAACAGAAGCTGGAAGAGGCAAGAGAGGATTCTCTCCTAGAACTTCAGAGGGAGCATAACCCTGCCAAAACCCTAATGACAAAACTCCAGAACTGTGAAAGAATAAATCTCTGGCCAGGAAGGCTATGTTAACTAGTTTGATGAAAACATTTCAAATTGTATATAAAACCAGGACACTGTACCCCATGATTGCATTAATGTACACAGCTATGATTTAATAAAAAAAAGAATAAATCTCTGTTATTTTGAGGCACCAGGTTTGTGGTGGTTTGTGATGGCAGCCATGGGAAACATACAGTAAAGAGTGAAAGGATTTTGATAAGTAGCATCAAAGGAAGAACATTCTGGACAGAGGGAATGGTGTAAGATACTATATATATATATATTTGAAAACACACACACATACACACTCTAGTGGGAACAAAGCACAAAAAAAGTGTGGAAACCAAGGCAGAAGAGCTAAAGGCCAGCCATAAAGAATTTACTTTCCCATGCTAAGTCTGGGCCTGGCAAAATCAAGCTGGCATTTCCAAAAGAAGAGATGTGGCAAATGGACTGTAGAAGCAGAATGGGAAGCCAAAAAATCTAATGAGGAGATCAAAGAAGGGAAGCAGAAGGGAAAACAGAAGGAAAGGAGCAGCTAGAGGTGCCATATAAGAAAGGAAATTAACAAGATTTGATGATGGCTGGAGTGGCCTCAAGACAGAGTCCAAAGGGTTGGAACTTTCCAGCATAGGCAGCAGACATGATTTCTCAGTTTCTGAGTTCCCCACAGGAAGAAACAAATGCTAAAGTATTATGAGTGATGGGAACTCTGGGGAGTTCATATATTTGTACGTGAGGAGAGGGGCTTAATATAACTTATTTGTTCATTTAATTTAAAATGACATGTGGGCAGGTGTCAAGAGGGCACACATACCAATGATGGCCACTTTGTTCTCCTTCATGGAACTCAGCACCTGATCCAGCTTCTCCTCAGATGCTATATTCTGCACCTCGCTCAGGTGATACTCCTGGAACTCCACTGGGACAGCAGCAGCCTTTAAAGGTCCCAACAGATCACAGGGTCAAGGTCAAATACTTCACAACTCACCCCATCGTCCCTGCAGTTGATCCCTGAAGCCACTCACCTTGAACACTTCCTTGACGGCGTGCATTAACTCAGGCCCCACACCGTCTCCTGGCAGCATGGTCACGGGAAAAGCACCCTCCACCCTCATGTCCTCAGCCTGCAGGTGGGGCCAGCAGAGTCGCAGCTGAGGGAGCAGGGATGGGGACGGAGGAAAGAGGGGCAAGGGGGAGGCAGAAAAAACAGGGAAGGGAGCCGCGAGGAGGGGCCGGGAGCGTGCGCGAGACTCGGGCCGGACTCATGCATACCTGGTTCTTCAAGGAGGCCTGCGCCGCGACCGACGTACCCAGACCTCTCCATGCCACAGGGTTGCTGGCGGAGACCAGTGCCTGCAATAGGGACACACAAGCCTAGGTCAGATATTGGTCAGATCTGGAACCCCTAGACCCTGAACACTGCAGTGACCTTGCCCTTTTTAGGAAACGCTGGGACAGACCCTTATTCCCTCGCCCGTCCCTGCCCAGAGTGTCCCCCGGCCTCACTCGGGTCAGCCAGCGGACACCGCTCAGCGACGCCATGTTCTCCGCAGGATGTCGCGCGGGAAGTGACGCCGGAAGCTGTCGCAGCACCGTACATCGACTTCCGGCCCATCAGGGGGCCCTTGGCGGTTCTCTCTGCGCCAACCCGCATCTCCTGTCCACTCCTGTGTCTTCTGGGTTTTTGTGGCCAGAGGGTCGCGGGACGCACAAGTACTTTGTCGCTTACTTATTTTCAGTCGCCATATTTAATTTATGTTGAAACTTTAAAATAACATTAAAAGAGAATATGTGACTTCATTTTATCAATGAATATACCCGAGTTTAACAAGAGGTTGAGAGAAAGTAACGTGGATTCTGTCTGTCCTTAAAGTTTTTATGTCTACACGTTTGTTCTTTCAACCAGTGCTCACTGAACATTCGTATGTCAGTCATTAGAGGAACATAGCACAGTTGAAAGGTTCAGAAATTTTCATTTCATTTCAGAAATTATTAATTTTCTTGAGCTCAGCCTAACACTCAAAAAATAATCTGCAAATTGATGTCATGTGGCTGTCTCCAGGGTGAAAAGAACTGGAGGTCACCAGCTGACCAGCCCAAGGAGATGAGACCATTATTGTATGAAGGCCATTCTGTTCTCCTTGTGAGCTCGGCATGCTCTCTGGCCTTTAAGTCTCCATGCAGGCGTCTTTCATCAATATCACCTGATAATGAAGAAGTTTGCTTCAGACATTTGAGAAGTTCTGTAACCAATCTCTTGCAGCAGGGAAGAGAAAGTATACCACCATGTATCCTTCCAGCTGTTGTGGAGCCTTGTCCGCTTAGCGCTAGGGCCCATAATGATAGATAACCCGCCTACACTTGAGTGTTCCCTGTGAGGCTGGCTGAATTGAATGTCAGTTTCCCACGCTTGCAAATACTACAGGGGTCCCAACTTGGGATCTACAAAACTCCACATTTGTCATGAACAGAAATTAGTTCTATGGCAGGTGCAGTGCATTCTGGGAGTCCAAGACAGGAGGATTGCTTAAGGTCAGGCGTTTGAGACCAGCCTGAGCAAGAGTAAGACCCCATCTCTACTAAAAATAGAAAAATCAGCTGGGTGTTGTGGCCAGCACCTGTAGTCCCAGCTGCTTAGGAGGCAGAGGCAGGAGGATTGTTTGAGCCCAGTACTCTAAGGTTGCAGTGAACTATGATGATGCCACTGCACTCTAGCGTGGGTAATAGAGCATGATTCTAAGAGGAGAGAGCAGAAGAGGGGAAGAGAGAAAGAAGAAAGAAAGAAATTAGTGCCATGAACTTGATAAGGAATATCCAAAAATTACTAGCTTTCTTCTCACCTCTAGCTGAAATTTAGTATTTCCTTTCATTATGAATGTAGGTCTCAGATCACAGTTTTACCTGTAGTATCCTTGACTTTGTCCCTAATGGAAAAATATAGATATTTAATTCCACATTTCAATTGTGGCATATCTTTTTTTGTTGTTGTTGTTGCAGTTTGTGGCCAGGGCCAGGCTTGAGCCCACGACCTCTGGTATATGGGGCCAGTGTCCTACTCCTTGAGCCACAGGCACTGCCCTGTGGCAGATATCTTAAACTATTTATTTACTCTCATCCCTACTATGACACCATTTGACCCAGTGCTAAATCATGTTATTTAATGCATTAATGAAGCAGCACACAGTAGTATGTATACTACAAGGTAGCTTTGTAATTACTATATCTCAACATAACTTTCTTTGTAATCATATTTATTTTATTTTATGCATTTTTTTTTGAGACAGAGCCTCAAGCTATACTATCCCCCTGGGTAGAGTGCTGTGGCATCACAGCTCACAGCAACCTCCAACTCCTGGACTCAAGTGAGTCTCCTGCCTCCACCTCCCAAGTAGCTGGGACCACAGGCACCCGCCACAACGCCCAGCTATTTTTTGGTTCCAGTCGTCATTGTTGTTTTGGGTGGGGCCCAGGCTGGATTGAAACCCGCCACCTTAGGTGGCGGCACCTTAGCCACCTGAGCCACAGGCGCCAAGCCTATTTTATGCATTTAAAAGCATCCACGGAGTTCAACATCCTTTCAGAGACATCCACTACACACTAAAGTTTCAGAATTTCTGCTCTGTTAGGCCTACTGGATCTTTTTCTAAAGCCATGAGCAATTAAAAGAGTGACAGAATAAACAATTCTTTGAAGACTGACATCTGAAAAAGTTACTTGGGAGAAGGAGAATTTGATCTGTGATTAAAAAACAGGATTACAGAAGAGAAATGACTACACTCAATAGGAAAGTGGAAATGTCAGCAAAAGTATTATCTTGGGTCAGCTTCCCAAGACAGGGATTCTTATGCAAGTGATTTATTGAAGGAGTGTTCTGGGGAGAAAGACGTTGGGAAGTGAATAAGGGGGTGGGGAGTAGTTCAGCAAGATGTGGTCTCAGGTGAAGTCCAACTCAGCCTCTTCTCCTGGGGAGCTCTAGAGCATGAATTATGTTTCAAGGTTGTCACAGTTTGAATCAAGTCTTAATAACCCTGCTTTAGCCCTGCATGGCATGGGCCAGGGACAACTCTGTAGAGAAGGAAGCTGTAAGCAATTGATGGCCAACACCTGACACACTTGGAGGAATGGATGCTGGCAAAGTGGATCTGGGCAAGGCAGCTGCTACCTGCTGGAGGTGAGCATGATCATAGTGTGCTGAGAAACAGGGATCAGTTACTGTGAAGATTGGGGAGTGAGACCAATGCATGTTCTAGAGCTGAGAGAAACAGAGAGGGCTTTATGAGCAATCTTGAGGACACTGTTGAGGTTGGTGACCATGCCATTTATTGTGATACAGTTCTGTGTGACTTCATGGAAAGAGCAAACACTTGGATTCATCCCTAAGTGGTATTTAGTCAGAGAGAGGCACAAGGGATTTGAGAGTGTTGGCAAAATGTGACCAGGAGGCAGGTGAAGACAATCAGAAGAGATTGAATTGATAGGCAGGTGAGAAAAGAATCAAAGAGCCCAAAGTATGTGAAGAGTCATGCAGTGGGAGTCACTGAGCAGGTGAGGAGGAAGCAGGGGAGGCTGCGTCACAGCAGGGTTGGAAGTGGAGCAGAGCCTAGTAAGATGAAGTCCCAGCTGGGATGTGGGAGATGGTGCTGAGAAGAGCTCAGGAAGATGCTGCTGATGAGGACACAGAACACAAATCAGATGGATCATCCATGTCACCATGGGCATCAACTAAGAGAGTGGCCTCAGCTGAGGTACCAGAAAGGCTGGCATCCAAGTGCCGTCTCTTTCCTTGGTAAACAGGAGAGGCCAGATCAACGATGGCAGAAAATGAGAGAGGTGACATCACTGACTGGGAAAGTCCCTAAAGAGTAAGCCCTCTTTTTTTTCTCATGGATGTCCAATTAAAAATATGAAAGTGGCTCGGCACCCATAGCTCAGTGGTTAGGGCGCTGGCCACATACACTGGGGCTGGCAGGTTCAAACCTGGCCCAGGCCTGCTAAGCAACAGTAACAACTACAACAAAGAAATAGCTGGACGTTGTGGTGGGCATCCATAGTCCCAGCTACTAGGGAGGCTAAGGCAAGAAAATCACTTAAGCCCAAAAGTTTGATGTTGCTGTGAGCTGAGACACCACTGCTCTCTACTTAGGGTGACAAAGTGAAACTCTGTCTCCAAAAAATAAATAAATATAGACATACCTAAGCAAAACTTTGTATTATTTTAATTAGATAATAAGTAAATGATTAAAATCCTCTTTTATAAAAATATAAATAAGGCCAAGGTTTTTCACCTCTCCAACCACAGCCCCTAATCTTTTTGCCCTATCCTCAGAAGCACTTAGTCATCTTTTTTTTTTTTCTGATGCAGAGTCTCACCCTATCACCCTAGCTAGAGTGCTGTGGCATCATTGTAGCTCACAGCAACCTCAGACTCTTGGTCTCAAGTGATCCCCTTGCCTCAGCCTCCCCAGTAGCTGGGACTACAGAATCTCACCACAATGCCGGGCTAGTTTTTTATATTTTTAGTAGAGATGGAGTCTCACTTTTCTTCAGGGTGGTCTTGAATTCCTGAGCTCAGGCAATCTACCCACCTCAGCATCCCAGATGCTAGGATTACAGGCATGAGCCACCATGCCTGGCCTAGTCACCTTTAAAACCTTTTTCCTGGGCAGTGCCTATGGTTCAGTGAGTAGGGCACCGGCCCCATATACTGAGGGTGGTGGGTTCAAACCCAGCCTCGGCCAAACTGCAACAAGAAAATAGCCAGGCATTGTGGGGTGCCTATAGTTCCAGCTACTTGGGAGGCTGAGGCAAGAGAATCACCTAAGCCCAAGAGCTGGAGGTTGCTGTGAGCTGTGATGCTATGGCACTCTACCGAGGGTGACAAAGTAAGACTCCGTCTCTAAAAAAAAAACTTTTTCCTGCCCACACACGTGCACACACAGGTGAACATACAGGGTATGCATAAAGTTCGTGTGCAATTTAAAATAGCCGACTAGGGCAGAGCCTGTGGCTCAGTGAGTAGGACGCCAGCCCCATTTATCAATGGTGGTGTGATCAAACCCGGCCCTGCAACAAAAAAATAGGCAGGCGTTGTGGTAGGCGCCTGTAGTCCCAGCTACTTGGGAGGGTGAGGCATGAAAGTCACCTAAGCCCAGGAGTTGGAGGTTGCTGTGAGCTGTGTGACGCCATGGCACTCTACCAAGGGCAACAGTGAAACACTGTCTCTGAAAAAAAAAAAAAAATAGCCAACTAGCCCAGGTGCGGTGGCTCTCACCTGTAATCCTAGCACTCTGGGAGGCTGAGGCAGGTGGATTGCTTGAGCTCGCGAGTTCAAGACCAGTCTGAGAAAAAAGTGAAACCCCATCTCTACTAAAAATAGAAAAAGAAAAACTGAAGCAAGAGGACCACTTGAGCCCAAGAATTGGAAGTTGCTGTAAGCTATGATACCACGGCACTCTTCCCAGAGTGACAGCTTGAGATTCTGTCTCAAAAAAATATAATAAAATAGATGACTATTTTATTTATTTATTTATTTATTTATTGAGACAGAGTCTCACTATGTTCCCCTCAGTA